AGATCACCAGTGATAGAAGGTCCAATCACGAGTGATCAAATTGCGTTCTTTGCTTTCCATTCATTGTTAGTGGAAGTCCAAACGAATCCTGGCTACGGACATGCGACGCATGCTTAATAACAGCCTGGAGATTAAGATTGCGGGCTCCTCTTGTCGCCCGCAATTAAGGTGTGGGACAAGGAAAGTTACATAGTAAAATTCTATTAAATGCATTTAATTTATCAGGCGTTTTCCACTGAGTATACTTATTATGCATGTATTTCGTTTTGTCCATATTTGAACTCTCTAGTACTGATGCCCGTTTTGGATTAAGAGTTGTATATAAACTTCTTTTAAACTTCACAAATTAGGAAATTTGTGATGCAGGAGTGTTAATGGATTCGTTCTTTGCGTCCTGCTTCCGAAATAAGTGGCATCGAACGCACTTTACTAAATTTTTGTATATCAGTAGTCAATTCGGAATTTGCAAGGAAGAACCAAAGCACAACCGTTTTAAAGATTTTGAGACTAGAGGGAGGAAGTTTTCAAATTTTAGTCCCTTTATAAAATCTACTTGCGGTGGACTGAGTGTTCAAGAAATTCTTTAAGACTGAACGGGCCATCTTGCTCGATTACCACATTTGGTTAAAAGACAAGTGACGGTCAAGTGTTTTTTTTCAGTGCGCCTTGCTAGTGGTATTAAGAGGGTCTGGATGGGGTTAAGTGACAACTGACAAATGGCCAAAATTTTAACTGACAAATGACATTTCATTGGGTTTTACTGACAACTGACGAAGGACCTGATTGTCCCTTATTTTCTATAAAACCCGTTTTAAAGCCTTAAATAGCATTGTGATCAAATGTGCGTCTTTTGGGGGTAATCATAGCAGCAAGACACTTAAGTGTCATATTTCGTTAATGATTTACTGTAATAAGCATGTCATGTTACCATCTGTGGTAAAAATGACCTATGATCTCAAATTTACGCTCCTCTGAGACCGCGCCAGCATACGATGGCTGCTAATGAGGGCGTTACAAAAGCAATTACAAGTCTTTTCCGAGATGATTCAGATATTGTCTTTCTTTCGATCTACGTCCCAATAATATATTCTGAAGGTATAAATTTTGATTGGCATAATGGTTGGAAACGTTGGACTCTGGGCCAGCAAAAACGTTGGAGTGGAGGGGAGTAACACAAGACTTGAGAAATGGAGGGCCACTTGAAATGCTAACAATAGCAAAACTGATAAAAATTAAGGTACTATTGCATCAGTTTTGGAATTTAATCATTAATTTTAATTACATTATATGTGTCTTTAAAGCTAAATTTCGCATCAAAAATATACAAATAAGTTTCATAGTTAATCATTAATAATCATTTAACTGACAACTCGCAAAAAGCCTTAAATTTAACGACAAATGGCCAAAATGTTAACTGACAACTGACATTTGTATCCCCTCATCGAGACCCTCTATTAACGAAGGTGTTTGCTTCTTGGCGAAGAGCCACTGCCCGTATGGCTATGAGAATCTCTCTTAAATTGACTCATCTCCATTCTTCTCACTTACGTAAATGAAGCAGTCTCGCAAGATAAATACGTTGAGCATTTGTGAGCGCTTTTGTCAGCGGAGGGAGCTTTTAGTTGACCTGACTAATTAGATCCGATTTTTATCTTTTAGACATTCTTAGTCATGTTTTGCTTTGTAAAATCGATCCAATTTGTTATTCTTATCGTTTCTTCATTATTTGTAATACGCATATGAATATATTGTTATGGTTCATGCGTAATATGTTTCATTTTTGGCGGTGATTACTGGTAGGTAGAAAAGTATTTTCATGCTGAATTTGCAACAAAATCGTAAAAAAGCACTTGACAAAATCCCTGAAGTGTTGGTAAATTGGAAATAAAGTTCCCACTAAGTAACGTTTTTAATTTACAAAAAGGTACTTTTTCTCATTTTTATCCGACTGATTTGGTAAATACTAAAACAACTTCCACTTCGGGGGATAGTTGTATATTATGGGCACGTCCAAACTGAATATTTAATTGAGTATACTTTACACTATATTTATCCGAGATTGGGGTATCTTGTATGAGAGATCTCATGAGTATTGTGGCTAACTTTCTCGTACTAAGATAACTGCATATTTCTTAATATACACGTTCTACTCAACTTGGCCGACCCAAAATACTAAGATGAGCATCTTATTTCTAAACTGAATTTTCGCTGTACACGTTAAAAACAATTAACAAATGAAATTTATGAGCTCTCATAAGACTGAAAGGCAACTATTTAATACCTATTCTTGCAGGGAAAGTTCACTTGATAACAACTCATCACCTGGTCCGTTCGAGAACGATTGGTTATACAGCGCATTGTTAAAGGGGCTTATGTCACGCATCTGCTATCCTGGTTTTTGAAAGCTTAAAGGCGTGTTTGCATGTACAAAAAGTTCCAGAAATAATGTTCCAGTTTTGTTATTTGAGACTATATTTGCATTGAAACTGTTCGCTGTCGTCTGTTGCTATGGATAGCAACCAGTTAAACTGGAGTGAAAGATGATAGCACTTGATCCTGTCTCATGAAGACGATTCCAAATGTACATCAGAAATCCATCTATTTCTTTCGCTGGCCTGCAATGGATTCAAGACAGCAACGACCAAGTTATTATCGGCTCCACTTCTTTGTAAAGGTTGGGTGGGCGCCTAATCCTTAAAATAAGCTCTATAGTTACCGTAAACCCCCTATTAAGCCCCCCGGGGGGGGGGGGGTTATTTATTTCAAACACATTTGGGGGACGGGGGCCTACATAATTTAGCAAAGACGATGGTATCAGTTCTCTTTAAAGAACTATAACTGCAAAATGTAAAAGCTCAAGTACAATGGTTGTATGTCATGCAGCCGAGGATCAGAAACAAATCTGAAAGTTCAGCTGGTGAAAATAACTATCGTGGACCAGTCCACATGAAGTGTTACAGTTGTCGTTCATAAATATAGTATATCGTAAATTTGTGAAGAATAATAAGAGGAGGGGAGGGGAAGAGGGACTTAAAAGAGAAGGGGGCTTATTTGAGAGAGGGGGGGGCTTAATAGAGGATTTACAGTACGGGTGGCCCAAGGAAAATGGATTCTCTTCACCTGAAAGAGGGGGACATGGGGGTTTACGGTATTGCGGTATTGGGCTTTTTTTCATGCGGTATTTCGGTAATTTTGATTTTAACGTGCGGTATTGCGGTATCATCTAGCTCTGCGGTATGCGGTTTTTCATCATTTTGGCTGACGGTATTCGGTGAGATAAGATTGGTCACGGTATTTCGGTACCGTTTATTTGCGCTTTCCTTTCGATACATCACGCAAAACAAAACACAGTAGGACATAAAGGTCAATAAAAGTTAATATTTAGAAGTCTAGAGACATAACGGTAAATGATTAAACCATTGTGGGTCATTTTGTGACAGTTAATGGTCAATAATATACAATGTGATTGTTGTTGCATCCAATGACAATGAGTCGCCTCAAGTTACCTTACCAGGCTTTTCGATGTGTGCGTGTGCCAGTCTGCTACACAGCCGTTTTTAGTGTCGTCACGCAACGCTCCTCCCCACTGGGGAGGAGCGTTGCGTGACGACACTAAAAATGGCTGTGTAGCAGACTATACCTGTGTCGGCAATTCGAGGTCTTACACGTTTTCTCACAATGGCTGAGGTCGCTGAGACGGCGAAGACGGCGTGGTCATCATTGACTGTGTGGCAATTTTTTTATGAAGAGGGCGAATTAAGGACGCGAGCATTATCGCAGCAAGAGTAAGTTTAGATGTCGCGTTTCGACAATTGAAAAACGCCTTATAAAGTTAAAAAAGAAAATCTGGTAAGTTTGCCTCTTACCGGCGCGGCGTGTGAGACAGTCGAGATAGTTGACCCCTGAGATACTGACGTACTAGACTATAGACTCATCCAAACTCGCACTAGACGTGCGTGGAAAGGGATTTGGTTTGTTTGTTTGTTTGTTTGTTTGTTTTTCGCGCGTTCAAGAGTTATTTTTATTGGAGTTAGTTAGCTGTTGGGTCGACCTACCAAAAGGTTCTTTTCAGTGAAAATTTGCCAAAAATTTGCCAACTGCCAAATATTAAAAAAAACCAAGGACATCTGGTGCATAAATGCCTGAGATAATTAAACGCGCTAGATGGAAGCACCCATAAGTATGCGGAACCGATTATGAATGTGATTAAAATATGCGGTATCGGTATTTAGACGATTTTCGACGCGGTATTTCGGTATTTGCCATTTTTTCTTACGGTATTGCGGTATTGGGTACCCCCCAATGTCCCCCTCCTGAAATTGGGTATAGATTCTGGGCCTGAAATCAGGTGAGCCTAAAATTTGTGCTCCCTGGAAGAAAGGCCTGGAATTGGGCATGTTTTTATTCATTTGACTTTTGAGAGAAGCGGTTTAAGTCTCAGAAGGAAAAAACAGTTTGCCACATTTTCTTAGAGGAGTACCCCACGGGAGGCGGGAATTTGCCCTGCTCACAATACTCTTTCTTCCTGCAGGTGCCTTAATTTTTATACCGTGAATAATTCTTTAACTGAACATGAAAAGAAGTGCTTATTAGTGGTCAAAAACAAGTGAAGACAGTAATGGTGATAGACTCTGAAAAGTTAACGGCTTAGAGATGAAATCTCTTTACTAACTGTATTTTTTATATTTTCTTGATTCTCTTTTAATCTATGAATGAAAGACTCAGGTGTGAAAATTCAAATGAAGCTACATCTTCGTTTGCCACTTTCTTGTTTACTACATCAGTTGTACAAAGTGTTATTTTTATTCTGCTGATCTGCGGATTAAATGGCTACTTTTCTGTCGTGTTGTTTGTTTCTCAGTGGTACTTTGCGGAAAGTAAAAGGCTTCCAGGTCTCCAAACAATCAGGAGTGGAGCCAAAGATAAACGTCCTTTCATTTCTCACGTCTACGAACATGTGATTATTTTTCAATCTCATCGCACAGAGAGGACCTCACCTTTTATTGGCCAAAATTCATTGTTACGTCATCACCAATCAGCACGAATGGAGCCCAGTACTTCACGGCCTTGAATTTTTCTGTCTCCCGCATCCTTTTCATGGCATGTTGAAGTGACTTACTTGCACTTTTCCCTGCTACTAAATGTTCGTAAAAGTGTCTCATAAACGCAAGAGTGGCTTCGTCATCAATCGCCCACAGTGTGGCAATAACAGAACGCGCACCGGCTCCTAAAAAGGCACGTGCAATACCAACCACTCCTTCGACTTTGATATTTCCTCGCCCACTGTTGCAGCAGCTTAAGACAACAAGCTTGGCGCGCACTTTTGCATCCAACACATCTGCCATCGTCAAAAGAAAGTCTTTCTCTTTAGGTCTTTTGGCACTACTAGAAAAATTAGGAGACAAAATGATTTCTCCGGTTTCTGTACGACCATGAGCTGCTATGTGCACTAACGAAACTGAGTTGAGCCCGCTTAAAACCCGATCTTTTGTGGCGTTCTTTCCGGTGAGAGGCTCGATGTTTAGAATTTGCCCAATCATTTTTACCTCTTCCTCAGCACCTGGAAGCTGCGGAAACGGTTTGCAGCCTTTGATGCGTACAGTTTCCACCCACGGGTTGCCAACAAGTAGAGCCTCGGATGAACTATGGCGGTCCTTCGGACATTCTGCCAGCAGCCACAAGCTTGTCAGTGATGGAATCAATCTAATTCTACGCGTTTCATTTAAATACCTTGAGTTTTGGTCCACGAGGGCAACATAAGGAATCAAGAACGATGAAGCGTCAGGGACAATGACGAGTTCGTCACCTATCGAGTGTGAAATTGGAGCGATGAATATGTCGTATAATACTTTTAAAGCACCACCCTGGTCTTCGATCTCTCTCTGCAGCTGGGGGCGAATCTTTTTCCACAGGCTTTTGTTCACACCAATCTGTTTGTATGTTTGGTAAGTCATTGATGTCAAGTCATCACTGCTAACTTCCTGTTGCACAAAGTCACAAAGCTTTCCCCACTTTAACAGCATCCAGATATTCACTGACTGGGTATCATTCATTAGAAATAATGTGGGTGACGAAATATGGTTTGAAATGATAAGTTCCATCTGCTGTTTCGGCTGTGAACGAATCGATTTCCTGACACCATATTGCGATTCCAAGAGGTCCATAAGAGCTTCTGCTCGTCCCCTCTCAGCTGTTAAAAGCGCCTCGAGTGTCTTACGTTCAGTGCGTTGTTGTAACTGTAGTCTCACTAAACGACTAACGCAATCACGTTTATTCCGAAAGCTGATTTTCCACTCGTCGTTTCCTTCAAGAAGGACTCTCATTTCCTCTACCAGTTCAATACAGGATTTAAAACACTCCTCGGCTTTGGAGTACTCGTCAAGACACCAAAGAACTTGAGCAAGTCTATCATATCCGCATTGTTCAACATCTTTGTTTCCAGTCTCCTTTGCTATACTTGTGGCTAGCTGATAAAATTCCATCGCTCTTTTGGAATTACCGAGACGCTTATAGACATCGCCGAGGTTTATATATGTAGGTCCTTCTCCATTTTTCATCCCAGTATCTTTTGTGATTCTTAGACTCAGTTCATAAAGCTCCATCGCTTTATTAAAATCACCGAGAGACTGATTGACGACGCCAAGGTTGTTATATACAGCTGCTTCTTGACATTTGTTTTCAGTATCTTTTGCGATTCTTAGAGCCACCTGATTAAACTCCATTCCTTTTTGGAAATCACTAAGAGAATTATAGGCACTGCCAAGGTTGTTATATATAGTTCCTTCTTGATCTTTGTTTCCAGTATCTTTTGCGATTTTTAGAGCCAGCTGATAAAACTCGATTGCTTTTTTGAACTCACTGAGAGACTGATAGGCAAAGCCAAGGTTGTTATATCTAGTTCCTTCTCCATCTTTGTTTCCAGTATCTTTTCCGATTTTTAGAGCTAGCTGATAAAACTCGATTGCTTTTTTGAACTCACTGAGAGACTGACAGGCACTGCCAAGGTTGTTATATATAGTTCCTTCTTGATCTTTGTTTCCAGTATCTTTTGCGATTTTTAGAGCCAGCTGATAAAACTCGATTGCTTTTTTGAACTCACTGAGAGACTGATAGGCACTGCCAAGGTTGTTATATATAGTTCCTTCTTGATCTTTGTTTCCAGTATCTTTTGCGATTTTTAGAGCCAGCTGATAAAACTCGATTGCTTTTTTGAACTCACTGAGAGACTTATAGGCAAGGCCAAGGTTGTTATATATAGTTCCTTCTCCATCTTTGTTTCCAGTATCTTTTGCGATTTTTAGAGCCAGCTGATAAAACTCGATTGCTTTTTTGAACTCACTGAGAGACTTATAGGCACTGCCAAGGTTGTTATATATAGTTCCTTCTTGATCTTTGTTTCCAGTATCTTTTGCGATTTTTAGAGCCAGCTGATAAAACTCGATTGCTTTTTTGAACTCACTGAGAGACTTATAGGCACAGCCAAGGTTGTTATATATAGTTCCTTCTTGATCTTTGTTTCCAGTATCTTTTGCGATTTTTAGAGCCAGCTGATAAAACTCGATTGCTTTTTTGAACTCACTGAGAGACTTATAGGCAAGGCCAACGTTGTTATATATAGTTCCTTCTTGATCTTTGTTTCCAGTATCTTTTGCGATTTTTAGAGCCAGCTGATAAAACTCGATTGCTTTTTTGAACTCACTGAGAGACTGATAGGCAAGGCCAAGGTTGTTATATGTAGTTCCTTCTCCATCTTTGTTTCCAGTATCTTTTGCAATTTTTAGAGCCAGCTGATAAAACTCGATTGCTTTTTTGAACTCACTGAGAGACTGACAGGCACTGCCAAGGTTGTTATATATAGTTCCTTCTTGATCTTTGTTTCCAGTATCTTTTGCGATTTTTAGAGCCAGCTGATAAAACTCGATTGCTTTTTTGAACTCACTGAGAGACTTATAGGCAAGGCCAAGGTTATTATATATAGTTCCTTCTTGATCTTTGTTTCCAGTATCTTTTGCGATTTTTAGAGCCAGCTGATAAAACTCGATTGCTTTTTTGAACTCACTGAGAGACTGATAGGCAAGGCCAAGGTTGTTATATATAGTTCCTTCTCCATCTTTGTTTCCAGTATCTTTTGCGATTTTTAGAGCCAGCTGATAAAACTCGATTGCTTTTTTGAACTCACTGAGAGACTGATAGGCACTGCCAAGGTTGTTATATATAGTTCCTTCTCCATCTTTGTTTCCAGTATCTTTTGCGATCTTTAGAGCCAGCTGATAAAACTCGATTGCTTTTTTGAACTCACTGAGAGACTGATAGGCAAGGCCAAGGTTGTTATATATAGTTCCTTCTCCATCTTTGTTTCCAGTATCTTTTGCGATTTTTAGAGCCAGCTGATAAAACTCGATTGCTTTTTTGAACTCACTGGGAGACTTATAGGCAAGGCCAAGGTTGTTATATATAGTTCCTTCTTGATCTTTGTTTCCAGTATCTTTTCCGATTTTTAGAGCCAGCTGATAAAACTCGATTGCTTTTTTGAACTCACTGAGAGACTGATAGGCACTGCCAAGGTTGTTATATATAGTTCCTTCTTGATCTTTGTTTCCAGTATCTTTTGCGATTTTTAGAGCCAGCTGATAAAACTCGATTGCTTTTTTGAACTCACTGAGAGACTGATAGGCAAGGCCAAGGTTGTTATATCTAGTTCCTTCTCCATCTTTGTTTCCAATATCTTTTGCGATTTTTTGAGCCAGCTGATAAAACTCGATTGCTTTTTTGAACTCTCTGAGAGACTTATAGGCAAGGCCAAGGTTGTTATATATAGTTCCTTCTCCATCTTTGTTTCCAGTATCTTTTGCGATTTTTAGAGCCAGCTGATAAAACTCGATTGCTTTTTTGAACTCACTGAGAGACTGATAGGCACTGCCAAGGTTGTTATATCTAGTTCCTTCTTGATCTTTGTTTCCAGTATCTTTTGCGATTTTTAGAGCTAGCTGATAAAACTCGATTGCTTTTTTGAACTCACTGAGAGACTTATAGGCAAGGCCAAGGTTGTTATATATAGTTCCTTCTCCATCTTTGTTTCCAGTATCTTTTGCGATTTTTAGAGCCAGCTGATAAAACTCGATTGCTTTTTTGAACTCACTGAGAGACTGATAGGCACTGCCAAGGTTGTTATATCTAGTTCCTTCTTGATCTTTGTTTCCAGTATCTTTTGCGATTTTTAGAGCCAGCTGATAAAACTCGATTGCTTTTTTGAAATCACTTAGATGGTGATAGGCGAGGCCAAGGTTGCCAAGGCTAACGATTTCTGCGTCTTTATTCCCGATCTCTCTTGCTTCATTCAAAGTCATCTCGAAGTAATCCCGGGCTATTTTAAAATCACCGCGTTTAAAGGCTTTTTCTCCAAGGTAATTACTGTACAACCAATTTGTTGTGGAAGTTTGTTCGGGTTTTCCATGTTTGCCTTTACTTCCTGGGCATGCCTAGAAAAAAATGTAAAACAAACCCTCTTTTGAAGCAAGTTATGGTATAGAAGATGTTTTTAATGTAAAGTTATACCCTTTGTGAGGAAGAAAATAGCCCGCAAGATTTTTGGTGGCAACCAACTCTCCCCTTGCGGATACCTGGATATTTCGGACGACCCCTGCTAACACAGCCAAATGCCCAGCAATACAAACTCCCGCTATTACTCGCTTGAGCCAGATTGTGGCTTTGAAATAAATTAGCTCAATATATAGCTCGGACAGCAAGTTTCTAGAGTATATATACTCAAGTATAGAAGTATTACCAATGAACTTTATTTCTTAAGCGGATAAATCTACAAGAGCTGATATTTGACCAATCCGCCTTGACTTTGGCGGCTCACGAAGTAAGCCAAAAGTCCATTTATTTTCGCGGCTTTAAAATTTATCGTACAGAGAATCAAAGGGCGTTTTACATTCAGCCAAAACTTTCGAAAATTTGGAAACAGCGGCAAATGGTATAGAGATTTTCCGGAAAAGTTTCTGGACATACCGGAAGCTGTTGAATCAGTCCGAAATGGGAACCATTCAACCAAAAATTCTACCTGGAAATCCCGGGAGCAAAAATGAATGGAAAGAAATCTTCCGTTAAAAAATTTTCGAAAATTTGGGTATACCTCGCGAGGTTGTCCCTCGGTTTTGGAAGTTTTGAAAAATACTGTTCCGTTTACTACTGGAAGTTGCCGAAAATTCAAAGTGGACGTTTTGGTTGAAGAGAAAGCGCCCAAAGTTTCTTTAAGAAAATTATTTTTCGGTCACTGTGTTTTTTCTAATAGTTATGAACTAATGTTTACTTTCATTGGGCAATTCTGTAAAATAGACATTAACTTCGATCATAGCTCAAACCCTTGAAATCTCATATGTGACTTTTTCAAGCTCCATCATCGGTTGAATCGAAATTAATTCGATGCAAGAAAGACGAACCAGCCATTCACTGTAATGAACCTCCTCCAAAAAGGAACATTTGGTGGTATCCGACTATTGAATCTCTTCTATTAGAATCAACCGTATAATATCAGTAATATCAAAGGTCACTTCGACCGCTTAATCAAAACAATTCAAAATGCTAATTTATAGAAATAAAATAAAATACCTCGTTGTCCATGGCTCTTCTACTCGTCGCTTTTTTCCTTAGTTCAAGCAACGTGGAGTTTTCCGCGTCGATCTTCCAAATTGTTAAGGTGTAAACAGTAGTAATATCGAATTTAAGTTGAAGTAGTGTTAACTTGCATTAGTTGGAATATAACTTATCTCATCTTTTTGTGATTTAGTCCACTGCGGCAGTGTATCAAATCATATACAACTAGGTAAAAACAACAAGATACACCTCCCCCGTTTTCGCTTTGAAGAAAGAAGAGCGTGGCCCCTTATGAGCAGCCTATAGTTGGAAGCAAAAAAAATACAATCAACCTGTATATAACGGCCCTGTATATAGCGGTCACCCTGTATACTACGGCCACTGAACAACTCTCCGAATTTATTGCCATATATGTTCTGTAAAGTTGATCTGTATAAAGCGGGTACCTTCTCTATAGCGGATGCGGTCACCCTTTAGATTCCCCAGATGTAGACAGAAACATGAATGCTAGCGAAATCGTCAAATCATTTAACCTGTTCCTGGCAATCGAGTGGGGAAACTACAAGCGTTGAACGAACCCAACATCCAGTTGAATTTAAAGGAAACTTATATAGAGCGGTCATTCAAGAGTGACAGTTATATACGTAGCAACTTCCCCGCAACATGGTTAAAGAGAGGATAATCCTCTCTGACTTGTTAATACGACTAAAGTCGTTGACACTGTTATTGCTACACACAGACTTTTATCATAAACTTTTATTAGAAAAGTTAGAAACTAACTTTTATTAGAAATTACATTTTTTCTCTGCTTTTGTGGTCGTTTTTGAACAAACAAAGAAATAGTCAAAAGAAGAAAATATCACGTACAACTGTGTAATTCGCAAAGAAGAAGTTTCAGATAACTGAGCGCTGCCCTCAAATAAGCACCGAACCGTTAGTCGGGAAAAATGGTAACCAAATCTTAACAGAAGTGTGTATAACAAGTTGCGAAAATAAATCATCTTTCAGCTATGGAGGAATACATAGAATAAAAGGATACTGCTAATCCTTGATCACACCACGTGATCGCCAGCTCAAACAGTTTTAACTTTGCAAACGCTTTCGCTCCTAAAATCGTAAAAATAAAGCATGTTGAAAACATTTCTTATGTCTTGCTCCCTTCCTTCCCGCCATTTCTAAAAATAGCTCATTTGTTGGAGTTCTTATAGTGTATAAGTATCTTTGTGTGTCTGTCGCAGTGTGATGAACCAGAAGCATATAATCCTTCAGGATGGTCTATAATAAGTTTTCTATAGAGATGAGGATAGACACAATTGTTCACAACTTTCGTGATTTCAGTTGTCATTTTGTTACATTCATCACTTTCATGTACAGCAATGGCCAATTTCAGGACAATTTCAAACAATGAGCCACTCTAAAATTAAGCCGGGGGTTAAAACGGTACATTCGCGGTACAGTTACACTAAAGAATCCGTAACAGCTCATGCACGTCATACGAGCCTAATATGTGTTCAAGAGAATGAAGAACTATGCCGTTAAAGACTAATCGCAATTAGCCTACGAGTAAAAACAGTAGTTGCCATTTTTGTGCTATCAAAGAGCCCGTGAGCAAACAAAATTTGATGATGACTTTGTTAAGCTCTGGACTCCAAATCTAAACTTCAATTTCTTCCATGTTATTTAAAAGTTTGAACTTTACTTGTAGCCATTTGAACGTTTTTGAGGAAACAAATTAAATAAAGGTTACGGTGTTTTATAATTCAACCCTGTCTGTTTCTTAGATACGAGTAAGTTTATAAACCTCTGAAATCACCTGTTATTATTGGTTTGATTGATAATGGTCGAATGTCCCTGGCGTTTTTGGCATCTTCCAGTGAGTGAATGTAATTTCCTATGAACGTTGAAAATATAAACAAACAAAAAGTCACTCACAGCAAACGCAGCGAAGCAAATTCAAAGCAAATAAGATCAGTGAAAACTGACAAGCCTCTGACGGATCATTCCAAAGCAAGTAAAAAAATTCAACATCAGTGGTTAACCAATCAGAAAGTAGGCAATATTTCTTTACTTTCTAAATACAAGTAGCCTCACCAAAACGAAAGTTTGCATATGCTCTGTTGGTGTACAGTTTCCCCTTTAGGTCTTCGTCTATGCAGTTTACTTTAATTCCCTCAGTATAAAAGTAAACGGCGTTGCTGTAATCTTCCTTCAAGTACGCTTCATTGCCTTCGATTTTGTAGACTTCAGCTATTGCTAAAAAAGAAGCACGTTGGAATGTCATTAAACCTCATGGTTCGTGTCTATAGTCGTGGTACAGCCGCCCCCTCCCCTCCCCTGCCTTGTCCCCAGTCGCTTGCGATCACTCTTTGGGGGATATTTGCGTTAATTGTTAAGAAAAGGGGGCAATAGGATTGATGGGAAGAGAAGAAACAATGAAGTTTTCTCTCTTTTTCCTTCCCATCACTCTCCACTCGCGTTCTGTCCTCGTTTCCATCATACCGATCTCGCGCTCCTCGTTGGGTCCAGCTTTCGCCCTTCTCACTTGTACCGTACTCGCCTCTAAGCTTTGGGAGAACTTGTGGAGGGGCCAGCCCCCCTCCACTCAAACAAAGAGGGATGGGGGTAGATGGCCCCCAATAGGCGAGATGCAGCATTTAGCATAACTTTTGGAAGTGATATTCGGGACAAGAGATAAAAACGGGACCAGGAAGCGAGAAATTAAATGACGAGCGAGGGTGGGGTTTTTCTCTTTTGGGAGATCAGGCTGCAATACCGTATCTTTTTTGCACCAAAAGGGGGCGATTCGAGGGAAACGATTATTTCAAATACTGCTCACTGGAAGTCGTACCCTAAATATTTTGTTTTATTATCCCATAAAATCAAAAAATAATCACATCCAATATACTGAACATGGGCTTTACAAGTGTTCCAAATTTGGTCCTCGGTTAAGTTTCAATGTCATTACAGTATCCTCGATTTCAGAGCTTGAATCGTCACAGATCATTTTGCACACTTCAGCCTTGTTTGTTATCCAAGGTGGCAATTTTTAACTTGACAGGAAAAGAATAAAAGAAAGGGAGAGAGGCGATTATTTCAAATTTTTCCGTCACAGGGGGGCGATTATTCGAGGGAGGCGATTAATGGAGGGTCGAATTCTTGGAAAAGCCTAATCCAAATAAAAAGTTAAAAAACCACCTTCAGTAGAGATACTGTTTAACAACTTTGACTCTTTAACCACTTCCGTATGTTGAATGTTTTCAAATGACAGTTTTTTGTAATTTTTGTATATTTTATTTCATTTGTCCTTAGTTTGCTACATTAAAGGCCTTTTGGTGATACACTATTAACAGTTGTAAGAATCTTTACCTTTTAGTGTGTCATCATCAAAATTCAGCTCTTGTCCAGTACCAAGTGATGTAACATCACTCTCATATGCTGCTCCGTTTCCACTCTCTGCCATAATGGTTTGATCTGGAAAAATCGGTAAAAAGCATTAAATTAATAATGACTTCACTTGTATAAGCACTGTTACCAAAACAACCATTCATTCTGCCACAAGTGGTAAACTCACATTAGTATAAAACTTTTATTGACTGAACAAATTAATCAAAATTCTGCGGCAGGCAGGCATGAAATGCGTGGGGAAGTAATTTTCAAACAACAAGACAGTACACGTAATCTGATTCCGTTTTTTGTTGTGCTTTCAATCAAGACATGAAACTGCTTTCAAGAATTCACTAGCCCAGTCGGTCAGGCCACCCTAGTAACCAACCATTGCCAACTCACATTCCGACAATCTCGGTGGCTTATTCCGTTTCAGATTTAGAGAGACGTTTTTTGTAGTTCTTTTTTGTTATCCTAGTCAATCGACTTAGTAGCAGCAGGGAGATAATAGTACCACTTCAGAAAGACGTGACAGAACCATATTTGGAAACAGAATCAGGAGTCAATTGCAGCAATAATCCTTATAAACATATTGTTTCTTTTTGGTGCTAGTGTAATTCGGTAAAGTTTACTTTTAGTTTTATAGAACGTAACGGGATAATCGTCATAATTTGCAACGGCTTTCGTCATTGGTAATACTTTGTTGATGAAAACTCGGGATAAACACTGTTAAGTATGTAAATTCGGTTTGCTACTTAAAGATGTTTGGCTGCTATGACCACATCAACAACAACACTTTTTTTACTTTCAAAACGACAAAACCTTAAGATTGGATTAACACTAAAATAACCTTTTCAAATAGTAATAATAATAATAATATTATAGTTATAATAATTATAATAATAAATGGTATAATATGAAGGTGCTGTGGTTGCACCATAGGATTTCAGCATCCGTTATTATAAATGCCTTGGTAATAATTTCTGTTGATGGGTTCAAACGCATAACAAATTATCATGGGAATATTGTTTGGCTGTGGTCACACTTGGGCTTTTTTTACTATAGTAAAGTCGAGTTTACTACTGTAAACACGTTTTCTAATGTGATCGGCTTTTCTCATTTTACTATGGAAACACAGATCTAGTCTGTTGCGGTGGCAACGGCGGTAGGCTGAAAGCAAAGTTTACTATAGTAAACTTTCCTAAAACGATATGGTTTATCGCTGATATATCTAAACTTTGTTTATTCAGTTGACATCTAGTCGCATTATTTGAGATGCGTTCCCTGAGTGTCACGTTGCTGAATACTTGTACATGTATTTTCAGCGCCGACAGCCTAGTCTTCTCCTTTTTTCGTGCCAACCAGTACAGTAGAGATGTCACAGTGACTCAGACAATTTTCGCTTTCATTCGAGGTAATTCCACAGTAAATTCTGGACTTCAAGGAATCATACGCCTACATCTAATGTTCGTGTTTCATTTCTGAGTCGAGCATAAATTTAGAAGTAAACATTCAATTCAGCTGTTTTTTATTCCGTGTAGCCATATTTTTTCTGTCTATTTTCTGAACATGGATTTTGGTTGGCACGCTTTTTTTAAGAAACCTGCATGTTCTTTTCACTTTAGAGTTCCACCATTCCGCAATAGTTTCGTAATCCCACCGGGCGGGTTTTCAGACAATCACGGCCACGAAGTAATTCAGCATGGACCGCTTATATTCGGCCGAGAAAATAATGGGATAGAAGCAGTATCAGCAGCGGCACAATTTTCAGTGAATGCATGATGTACAGACAGTCATGTAACTGGATGAAAAATAAAACATTCATGGAATGTCGTAAGAATGATCACCTATCTTTAGGCTCATCATTTTAGTGACACATTTCTGTTGGGAAACTATCTAGAACGTGTTAAGTCAAGTAATGAGTTTTACTATAGTAAAGTTTTTTTACATCCTTTTTACCACGGTTAAAGCCTTTTACCAACGTTAAATCCCAAGTGTGACCACAGCCATTTATCACACTATCAAAGCTGGTCTTTTGGCAGAAGTATACGCATGCGCAAAAAAAAACATTGAAGAGCGGCTAGGGGTATACGGAACACCGTAACACCGCAGAGAAATCGAGAAATTCGACACAACCATGCTAAAAATCCCCGAGCCAATCACATAAACTTCGGCATGTTTAGAAATACCACAATATCAGAATTCAAGGCCACAATTACATAAGTACCGCATGAAAATTTGCCAAACACCACCATACCGCAAACTTTCTCAATGTAAGGTGCTAAAAATGTAAACCTCTACTATACTCTCCCCTCCCTGAGCCAAAACATTTGATTCCAAATACCCAACAATGGGTACGAGTACGTCTAAGCAACGCAAATACCCAAATGGGATGGTCACGTTTCAAATTTACGGACCCATTTGGTTTATTGCACACCCTTTCACCGGCGTTGAGGGTTCTTCGTTTTCGAGTTGAGTGTGTTTCGGTTTCCAAAAAATACAGGGTACTTGTTTGTTTTTTCCATTCGTGGTTCTTTCCTTTTTACTTGTAGGTCTCTCCGATTCAGCTTCGTATTCGACAATCTGTTTTGCGGTTATGAAGTACGCCATAAGCAAACTTTTGATTAAGAAATTTGGGGTGGAACGAAACTCCAGTTGAGGTAGTCCGGATTTCAAGTGACGGCGATGATAGAAGGATTTTTTGGGCTTAAAATTTTCAATTCCGGGACTCTTTTGGGGTAGAAAAAATGTGGAAAGTATTTTCTTAGTTGGCTTGATTTTAACTAAATAATTTTGTCGGTGCGTAGTTCTGTATAGGGTTTTTTGGGGGTTAATTTTTGGTTCAGGGAACTTTTGTGGGTTTTGATTTTTGCCCCAATTAGTTCATCCACGTCTCTTAAGGTATCATCTAGGGTAAAAACATCATTTTTCGAAATTTTCAATTTTTAGATGATTAAGTAGAGCTCATCAAGAGCTTTCTTTTAAAAAAATTCCAGAAAAAAATGTTTTTTCGGTGCAGACTTATGGAGCGCAAAAGTTTTTTCTATGCTAATTATTTTAATTGATCGTTGACAAGTCCTGTCATACTTGATACGCATGCCGCTGTTGAACCAAGCTAATCACGCAATTTGACAGAAATCGTGGTCTACAAGTATAGTGCTCACTGTTTTTCCCTGGATTTTGGAAGTGAATGCCTCCAAAGAAAAAAAAAGAACTTGTCCGTTTTCGTCCTTGACTCCAAGACGAAAGAAGACGACAAAATCGTTCTGCAAAGAGTGGGTTTCGAAATTAGCAGAGAGTGACGAGGGCTCCTACTACAATCAAGAAAAATGGCTAAAAGGTGACAAAGCTTCTGAAAAACACATTGAAACTACCGCGAAATCGAGTTTCACGAGTTTCTTAGCGAGCGGAGCGAGCTTTTTAGGTCGCGAAGCGGCCAAGCAAGCGACAAATTCGCGACCGGTCCCACGCCATATAAAAATCGGACGAAGGACTTTTTTGAAAGTCTATTGTAGCGGGAGAGCAGCTTCAAGAAAAACTCCAGGAAGCGGTTTGTTGTCGATTTTTCCAGGGAAGTGTCGAACTTTTAGAAAATGTATCAAGTAAAAGTTGGCTTGGCTCAAAATGAAAACTGCCCGTCGCAAATAACTAAAGATGCTTTCTCGACAACAGAAGGATCGAACAGAGCAGAGCGTTCGAAATAAATTGTTCATCTGTTGTTGGGTTTCGTTTGTAACCTTTTCCTGCTGTGTCACTATAGTTGTCCCTTTTCTGGTATGCATCAACATTGACAGCTTTGGTGTTATAATCTGTTATAATCTCGTCACGGGCAATACGCCGCCAAAAATCTTTTTCCCCTGTTTTCTCGAAATGAAAATCAGAGCAAGTTGAGGGTACGTTTGAAAACTCCAAGTCGGCAACCCGCGAACCAATTTGGCTGAAATTTGGCCAACTTACTGTCAGATAGTTTTTCTAAAAAAGCTTGTCTGCGAATTTTGATTTCTTTTTTCGTTTTCAAGTAAGAGTATTTTTTTCACAGGTAGTGCTAATGATTTGCTATCCCTAACTTCAACTGCTTATAACAGAAGAACAAAACCACTTGACAAAAATCTGACTCACGGTTTTTAAGTCAAACGTGTTAAGAAGCGAATGCGATCTTAATTGGCTTCTTCCGTTTATTTTTGGCTGGCCCGGACTTAAATTTACAGCGACACCCACTTTCACAAAAAGCTTCTCATTTCTGAATCGCGTTAATATTTTGATTTTTTAAAAGGAATAAGCAATAATCTGGAACTATTAAGCTTTCAGAAAATGTACGGTTTATGGGGGTATTTATTAAAAGCAAAAGCGCTAGCGCCGATCAACGCGGGGAGGGTGCTTAAGGGTGGATGATACCTTAAAATCCTGAATACTCCTTTGGGAACGAAACTTGCCATGGTGTAAAAAAAATAAAATAGTGAATTATAATTGTGAGTACAAAAGATAAGAGTACAATACGGACTATCGTGTGCAACTTTTTAATATGTTCATTTCCGTCTTCGTCTGTTTGCTGCATATTAAAACAAAAAAAGTGATCATGACAGGGGTCATTTACTCCCCGTTTAGGCAGATAGTGTCACTTGTTCACTAATAAATGGCGTTGACCATGACAATGGTCACAGAATAGTGGCAAATTTGGTCGTCAGTTATGCTCATTTTCTAAAGCTAATAACGCCAAAAAAGCTAGAAAAGCATTAAATTTGTAGCGCTAGACGGAACTTGCACTATTATTAAAGGAGTTATGCGGTAGTGTGCATCTTTCGGGTTGGCAAGAAAATAGAAATCATACCCGCCGGGAGAAAATTCAGCATTCGTCGGCCACAAATTCTAGAAAAAGCCTAATCTAGATAAAAAAAAATTGAAAAACCACCTCCGACTTTGACTCTTTAACCACTTCCGTATGTTGAATGTTTTCAAATGACTTGTATAAGAATTATTACCAAAACAACCACCCATTTTGCCACAAGTGGTAAACGCACATTTCATTGAAACAAATTCATTGAAATTATGTGGCAGGCAGTCATGAAATTAGCGGTGAAGTCATTTTCATAGAACAGGACAGTACATGTACTCTAATTCAGTTTTCCATTGCGCTTTCAATCAAGACATGAAACTGCTTTTCAGAATTTAGGTGGCCCACTCGCTCACGTCACCCTAGTAACCGACCATTGCGAACTTACGTTTCGACAACCTTGTAAACTGATTCATCTTCAGATTCAGAGCGATGTTTTTTTTTCAGTTATTTTTTTTGTTACGTAGTCAATCGACTTAGTAGCGGCATTGAGTTACAATGCGACTTCCGTATTACGTGACAGAACCATATTTGAAAACAGAATCAGGAGTCAATTGCAGCAATGTGCTATCATTAGAATGTCGCTTGTAAACATAAGGTCTCATTTTCGTGCAAGTGAAACTCGGTTAAGTTTACTTGGAGATTCATAGAACTCATGGGAGATAATAGTCATAATTTGCAACAGCTTTCGTCATTGATCAGTGATACTTTGTTAATAAAAGTTTGTGATAAAAACATTGTTAATTAGATAAATCCCGTTTGCTACTTAAAAATATTTGGGGGCTATGACTACATTGACAACAGCACTTTTTTTTCCCTAAAAAACTACCAAAACTTAAGATTGGATTAACACTGAAATAACCTTTTCAATTAATAATAATGATCATCATCATCATCATCAACATCATCCGTCATAATCATAATGTTAATAATTATAATAAATGGTACCATGTGAAGGTGCTGTGGTTGCACCATAGGATTTCGTCATCCATTAATATAAATGCAACCTTTCTAAACGTTTCTGTTGATGGGTACAACGAGGGTCTTCAACCGCATAACAAATTACCATGGGAATATTGTTTGGCACTAAAGTGAAACTCTTTATACTACCACAACTGGGCACGATATCGCACTATCGAAGCCGGTCTTGTAGTAGAAGTATACGTATGCTAAAAAATTAAGATTGGAGCGGCTAGTGGTATACCGAACTCCGTAACACAGCGAAGAAAAATCGACAAATTCGACAACTTAAACCATGCTAAAATCGCCCAGCAAATAACAAAAAATTCCGCATGTTTAGAACTAACACAATATCATTGGGTTTATTGCAGGCCCTTTCACCG